AAAAATTCAACTCTCGCCTCAAAAACACCACCTTCACCCTGAATTGGTTCGATAATAGCGGCACAAGTCTCTCTCGTAATAAATTCATTAATCTTTGTCACGTCGTTGAATGGAGCATGAGAAACGCCAGGAATTAACGGTGAAAATGGCTTTTGATATTTGGGAGCTGGTGTCACAGATAATGCACCCATAGATCTTCCGTGAAATCCATTATTAAATGATATAATTCTGTATTTTTCATTCTCGTCTACTCCAATTTCTTTTGCAATAGATTTTCCCCATTTTCTTGCAAATTTCAATGCGCCTTCATTGGCCTCAGTTCCTGAATTTGAGAAAAATACTTTGGCTGCATCGAATCCACCATTTTCTCGCGTGGCTTTTACCAACATTTCAGCCAGCTCACCCGCGTATTCATTATGATACAAATTGGATAGATGTATTAATCGTTGTGTTTGATCGTGGACTATTGTCGAAAGTTCGGGATCAGCATGGCCTAATCCATTGACTGCAATTCCAGCAGTAAAATCTAAATATTTTCGGCCCGCATAATCATACAGGTAACAACCATTGCCATGCGTGAAAATTAATGGAGGGCGAACGTAGGTGTTTAATGAATATTGAGCGTGTCTATCGAGGATTGCTTGGGTTATTGGATGCGTATCGGCGTCAGAATGTGTTGGCTAATTTTATTTCATTTATTGAAGATTAACATTACTGATATAATAAATAATTAATAATAATATTATTATTATTAACACTGAAATAAGTAATTTTTACCTTTTTATGATCTTTTAATTTTTTTCCTTTTTCATCAAATGTTTCTTTTGATGTTAATATAGTTATCTTTTCACCACCAGATTGAATCCATCGCTTCTAAAAAATATATATTGAGAATATCTGTAAATTCGGAAAAAAATTGCATCATTGATCTGAAGCTTCACTCGTATTAATCGTAGATTCAATAAAATTCCATCGAATCTTTATAAAGGTATCAAATTAATTTATTGGTAATTTGTCGTGATACAAATGATTTCTTTAGATATTTACCGCGCCTAGACCAAAAATGCGTGAGCTTCCACCCTGCAGCATAATTCCACCACGTCCTAAATTTCTTACTACTGATCTCAACATTGATGATAAATACGAATAAATAAGTCTCAATAGCAACGAATAATTTTTTATTATTAAAGGTTCTCTTTTATTAGCGATAAGAATAATATTACTCGTAAGCTCAAATACTCTCGTTAAGTGATAAATAATTGGACAAAATATAAAATATAACCATAACCAAAAATATTTTCGCCCATTCTCTTTATATACGAAAAATAAAACGCCTTTTAGATTTTTGATTACGCGAGATAATCCATTAATTAATTAATTAATTAATCTATCGCTTTGATTATCTTTAAATATGATTAGATTTTCCACTTTAATAAACAAAAATATTCACGGCAACCGTTACACAGTTTTGTGTAAATCTCCGCATTTTATATCAAATGTAAATTTAATAAACACGGTTCTGTCAGTAGCTCACATTTC